TGTGGCATAAAGAGTGATGTGACGCATGATGCAAATGAAGGGCAGGGGCAGCAGATGCATGTAGACAATTCATTTATTTATTTTTTGTTTAGGTTTTGTTTTTTTTTTTTCCATTGCAAGTTGCAACTTGATGTGAGGCTCAGTGAAGAGGGATGCGACGCATGTAAGGGGCAGGGGTAGGTAGGCGGGCGAAGGCAGCAGTAGAGGTGCATAATTATAATATTTTTTTTATTCATTCATTGTAAGGAAATGATCGTTGTTTTGTTTTATTTTGTTATAAAAATTGTTTTGTTTTGTTTTTTTTTTCCAAGATCAAGCTTTTATTTTTATTATTTTTTAACCGTTGCAAGTTGCCTTTAATTTTTTTTTTTAAATTTGACCTTTGCCACAAAGAGAGAGAGAGCCGAATGGGCCGGGTTGTCCGTAGGGCTCGATTTTTTTTTGGGCTGGGCTGGGCCAACGGGTTGGGTCGATGGGCTGGATCGGGCTTTAAATGGAAGGCCCAGGCCTAGGCCCAAGGTACTGGGCTAGGCTCGGGCCCAGGATGAAACAGGGCGGGCCCACCTCAAGCCTTGGGCTGTCCACGGGCCTCAAACCATTATTACACCCTACATTTGTGTTGTGTATGAGCCTACGTTTTCCAAATAATTACTCCTTTTGTGATGCGTTCAATTGATAGAAAATATAGGTTTCACCGTAACTGTTTCTTTAAGGGAAATTTTCCCTCAAATACTTGTAAAAAGTAAGGATTATACATCACAAGAAATTTTAAATTATTTTTCTATATAATTTCATTTTGTAAATTGTACAATTAATAGGAAAGTAAATTATTTATGTTTTTCTTTTCTTGAATATTTTCCTATGCAATATTCTTCATAATTGAGCGAAAGGGAAGCCAATAATTGGGAATAGTGTACACAACTTGGGGGTTTTTTTTTTCTTTATTTATTACTATATATATAGACAAAAAATATTTATCCACGGAATTGAGTTTGCCTGAATCGTTTAAATTTGTGCATGTTGGTCGACCATCTAGATGACCACCCAGTGCAACTCTTATCAACTGTGGTTATCACCCATGTCAATTGCGCCTGTCACCCTTTTGTGAATGATCGACCAGACGACCGGCATGCACATATTCAAACTATTCAGGCAAAGCAAAATTTGGTAGATGTAACATTACTTGTATATATATATATGTATTTAAATTTCTTGTTGGTTCTTCTGAAGCAATCATAGCGTGCTTATAATTTTTTTGTTTCCTTAGGAGTCAATGTTAGGCTATTAGGTACAATTTTCATTTATAGCTTATTAAACATAAATAATTTAAATAAGTTGAAAAAAAACTATTATCCGGAAGATGAAAGAGAGATGTTTGATTTTTATTTTCTGATTATCAACTTTAATTTATAATAAGTTATACCAAACAAATCCAAAATAATATGTCATGCATGTCACAAGTGTAATGTTATGTAAACAAAAATTTTATAGAAAATTCTTTGAAAAATTTAAAAATCCCCTAGATATTGATTTGTGATTATGTATTAATTTTAAGCAGTAAAAACAATCTCAATCAAATAACTAAGACAAATCAATACAACGATTTTAACGTGAAAAAACCACAATTGGAGCGCCTCCAATTGTGTTAAAAAATCACGGGCCAAAGCCACAAAACAATCCACTAAAAAGACACAAAGGAATTACACAAATGTACTTTTAATTGCCTAGCGAATCCACCCCCGAATCGAACCGACCCCTATGTGTCTTTTCTAGCCCTGTCTTCACCTTGGAATTGTCTTGCCCAACGTTAAATCCACAACACCGATTTCGAATCCACGACGAAGAGCCATTCCGGAATCCACCAAAACTTTAGGCTCAAGTTCCATGGAATCTACCGAAGAACAACTCTCTCTTTTGTATTAAACAAACTACACAAACTAAACAAACCTTTTGATATAATCCACTCAATTCATGATTACACTTTCACAGATATCAAAGGAAACCAGCAAAGAAGCTCCAGAAGAAAAACCTAATCCCCAAAAAGAAGATTTGGAAGCCGTAACCCTAAAATTTGATAGAACGACATATTTATAGAAAACAGGGCCGCTCAAGCGCAGGAATGGACGCTTGAGCGGACTGACTAAAAACGTGTGTTTCTGAACACGGATCTACGCTCGAGCAGAAAAAAATAACTCTTAGTACTTTTGTAGGTGAGTGAAATTTCTGAAAGGTCACGATCTCTGCTCAAGCGCAGGAATGGCGGCTCAAGCGGACAAACAACTTCGATTGCAATTTTGCTCGATCCCCAACATAGCCAGCGAAGTGGCAAACATGAAAGGATAAGATCACAAACTCCTCTACATAGGCACAATTCGGGTTGGATTCACATCTAAAAACTCATAGCCTCACTGAAATAAAAAATCGAATAAAATTACAACTGAAAGGAGTTTTGTCAAACGGGATTGCCAAGAACAAAATCTAACAATCTCCCCCTTTGGCAATGCCGTGACAAAACACACCTAACAAATAAAATCCTAATCATCCCAACCCATTACAGCAAAAAAAAGCAAACTACTTTCTCAAGGTCATGATCTGAAAAATAGCTATTAGTGCCACAATCTCCAAAACAACTATTAGTGTCACAAGAGTATATAAAAAAGCAATAGACATATGATAAGATTATCTTGAAGCATGAGATGGAAAACATGAATTGATGCAACTTGGAGATTTTAAGAACATGCAGCATGAATAGATGAAAATCCTAAGACACATGAATAGATAAAAATTAGAGATTTTTTTAAGAACATGTAGCATGAATACATGAAATCCTAAGGCATATAAGAACATGTAGCGTGAATACATAAAATCCTAAGACACATGCATCCACCAACATTTCTTCCCCTTTTTGTCACGAATTGTTAAAGAAAGGTCAATCAACTAACGCAAGAACATAAACCACAGAAGCAATAATAATAAGCAGTGGATAAATAAAGAAGAAGCAGTGAATAGCAACAAGCAAACAAACTAATGCCAATCTCCCTTACCAAATCAATCAATGATAAACCAAACTCCCCCTCACTAAAAGCAACCACAAACATTGAAAACAGTGAACAAGAAAAAAAAGACAAAAACAAAATATGGTGAAGCAAGCAAGGAATTTCGGATTTGTACATTAAAACACACAGGTTTATCCAAGAAACACAATAACTTGAGAACACAATGTGCATAGCCTATAGAAAATTCCTCATGAAAGAATGTGATACCATATGTGAAAAGCATAGATCCCATGAAAAAAGTCTGTGTGTGACTTTTGGAGTTCGACAAACACTAGATGCAAATCCTAGTAGTGATCTGAAATCTAGACCTCATGCAAGAGAATCTAAGCACAACTAAGGAAAGTCAAACCATTAGGAATCAAGGGGTATTTGTTGAGTAAAAACGGAGGCTCCCCCTCAATCAATGAATCTTATTTTTTTTTTCTCATCTTTTCTTTCTTCTTCTTCTTCTTTTTTTTTTTTTTGCACATTCATTGGCGGCTTGCACGCTCAAGAGTATGGAAACTGAACCAGAGAAACATGGATACAATAAGGACGACCTAGTTGGTGACTCTGAGGTAGCCTTTTTCTCATGGCTAGACTACAAAGAACAGAGGGGAAAGCCGTGGAGATGCAAAAAGATGGAAGGTGGTTAAGAGACTCAACATCACCCATGATGTGCTAGTATATGTTAATTCCTTTAGAAAAGCAAAAGACACAATGCTAGAAGTCCATAGAGAAGACTGATCACTAAGGTGGAAGATTCCGATATTTGCTAATCCAAGAGTGTGTACAAAATGAGACATACTAATAAAAGAAAACACACTCTGAAATGAGTAAAGACCACATAAAGCACACCCATATTAACATGGAATGGATATTCTTATCAATTTCAATATGCACCAAAGCCTTCTCCAAAATCTCAAGCTTGCAAAACCATGCTACGAAAATCTTTTTGGTTTAAGATCACAAACTCGATCCCCGACATAGTTAGTGAAGTGGCAAACATGATAGGATACGATTACAAACTCCTTTGCATAGGCACAATTTGGGTTAGATTCGCATCTAAAAACTCACAGTCTCACTAAAATAAAAGATCAAATAAAATTACAACTGAAAAGAGTTTTGTTAAATAGGATTGCCAAGAACAAAACCTAACATTCTTAAATTGAACGATCAGTTATTTAGATTAATAATTAGAAAAATAAACTTACGTTTTTTACAGAATAAAATTTACAAGTGTAATTAGCTGGCTTTGATGAAAGGAAAAGAAGGCAATTACTTTGGCCCCCAAACTTTACAAAATTATGCAATTTCTAAATAATTTTAATCTTTTAGTATTAGTAGACTTAAAACTAAGGTCCAATCACTGCAGAAAATTCGAGTTTCAGTGGCATTTTTAAAACGCTGCTAAAAGCTTGAAAAACGCCATAAAAGTTTACAGCGACGTTCAATATTTTCGTCGCTGATACAGCCGCCGCAATAGCTTTGTAACGTTTGAAAAACGTCGCTGAAAATATTAGACGGCGTTTTTTAAAACGCCGCTAAATATTTGATGTCAGTCTCACCTTCCGTCACAAACTAACGTGTGACGTCACAAACTAACGTGTGACGTCACGATGACGTCATTTAGTGGCGTTTTTCAAAAAACGCCACGCCACTTCTTTCTTTTTTTTTCCTCCCTGTGTTGCTGCTTCAAGAATATGAACTAATGTGTGTGACGTCACGATGATGTCATTTAATGGCGTTTTCAAAAAACGCCACCTTTTTCTTCTTTTTTTTTGTGGTGCTGTTGCTGCTGTAAGAATATGAAATAAAAAACAATTTTTTTCCCCCTCTGTGCTACTGCTGTTGCAAGAATATGATATAAAATACCAAAGTTGGCATTCTCTGTGACTATATATAGTTGTAAAAGAAATGTTACTGTGCACTACAAAGTTCATACAACTTTGGAAACAGAGTATAAACAAAATAATTTAACTAATTGCACATTTCATGAGATTTTTACTACACAAAATATATTACATTGATCTTCCAAAGTATATCACATAATAAAGATATTAAAAAGCCTTTCTTGAATGACAAACTACAACTGTAATTATCTACAAAATAGAGACAGTTTATTGCAGGAAACCGATATGAGTCCTTGTGATGTTGCAGAGAACTTGATACCAAAGACTGGTCCAAAAGAGACTTGCTTAAACGAACTGATTAAAGCTCTCAACAAAGCCAAGGAAAGCACAAACCTGAAAACTAAGAAAGAAGCAAAAAACAAAAAGTTATCATCAAAAGTAGCTAAAAAATACATACATGGATGCAGATGATTGGAAGGCTAAGGAAGGAAAAATAAAAGAAATAATGATGGTAGATGGTAGGATTGTATGTTTTTCTTGTTCCTTACCTCTGAAAATAAGAAAGTATAAATGTTGTTTAACTAATGTAATGATGTTGCTCATAAACTAACACATTTATTAGGATGCATAATATCTACATGAGGGTTTTGAATAACTTTGAAAAATACAGGTAATGTCACCTAGTGATAGCTACTGCTACATAATGAACTTAATTTAAGGAAAGATCATTCACAATGGATTTCGGTAAAACTTTGAAAAGGGAAAAAGAAAAGGAAAGGACAATGTGAATTAAATATAACCTCTCTTTTTTTCATTTTCTTTTTTCTATTTCCCTTTCTTTTTGCAAATTTTTGAAAATCCTATCCAAATCCATGATCCAAAAACAACACAAGGTTTTTCCCTCTTTCCTCCTACCCCATTCATTGGGTTATAGGTATTTTGACCAAAATATTTGTATTTTTTTATGAAATAATAGATTCAGACAAGCCTTCCAACAATAAAGCTCATGAGACCTTGCTGACATCTAAAACGACACAAGTAGAGGATTCTTGGTCCACCAATGCAATTGAAGACACTGAGTACTAGAATTTGAGATCCATGATATATTATTTCCAAAACACTAAACACAATTGAAAAATAATAATAATAATAATATTATTAAAAAGAAAAACATCAAATGTTATGACAACATGGTAGGTACTGCAATAATTGCAGCAGTCAAATCTTTGAGCAAATTAATACTATATCATAGAGTGCCTAAATCTTTTTTTTATCTCCAAAAAAATTATATATATATATATATAGTTCATCCAAAGCAATATATAGGCAAACCAAACTAATAAATTCCAATAAGGAAACAAATATAAACTAAGAATAAAATCCTAAAAAAATTCAACTTCATTAATAAAATGAAATTCACAAATAAACTAAAATTAGGAAAAGTTTAACCTCGAATTCAGTAGACTCCAACGGCCTTCTTTCATTGAGTTTGTCATATCTACTTCTTCTTTTCTTTCTTTGATATGTGAACCTGCATTTGATAAGAACAAACAACATGAATAAAATGTCATTGGATTGCACCCCAAGCTCCTTTATTTGTGTCTGCAATTGTTAATTAGTTAATTAGTCACCAATAAAATTTATATTAACAGAACTGATAAGAGAATCACGTAAACAATCACAAGCTACAGCCACTAGTAAAAAAAGTCAGCAAAGCAAAAAAAGTAAGAAGTATAATGAAATATATCAAATAAAATTGTTTTCCATTGATAATCATGCTGCAAAGTACATTCGTTTTCATACCATATCTCTTTGCTTTTCTTTTTTTCTTTTTTTTTTCACTACTGACCCAATAGAAACATCTTCATTTTGACCCCTTAATTCTGGTTTTATAGAGTTCAACAAACCCTCCAATCCCCATTTTCCCATCAGACACTTTTCTAACAGGGGCTACATTTGAATGCAGCTATTCAATCCTAAAGTTAGCTCAAGTGTGTTTTGGATCCACCATACACACTATATGCTTGTTTCCATAAAATATTTCAAGTTTTCAACAGCCCATTGTGTGTGTGCATGCAAGCGAATGTGGGGGGGTTCACACTCACTCTCTCTATGGGTGGGTGTTTAAAAGTATAAATGGATGTCTACTTTTTCTGATTCAAATATGGGCATCCAAACCTGGCTACATTGCAGCGATTTTGATTGAGAGACCACCTAGAGTGGTTTAGTGATTAAATGCGCTTGTTAACCACACAACATCTTTTGGGTTTGACTACCCATTAGTGATTGAATTCATCTTTTGCGGTACAAGATTCACATTCAATCAACGTAAAAAAATTGAAATTATATAACTCCTATATAGATAATATAACAAAGGCAAACAAGCAATGCAAAAGATTGGAACTACACTAGAAACTCAAGTGTAAGGAAATGGCCTTACCAATTGAATCTCTTCTCAAAGCTATTAAATGAGCACAACTGCGAAAAAAACATTCAGTCATGGTTATTTCTACTGAAGTGAAGATTGGAGAAAATAGCTACATAAATGCAATACAAAGATTTTAATCAAAATGACATTCTCTATCTTGAGAGGAATTTGTATCTGTAAACAAAGAAAAACAGATTCTATACATATCATGGTAAAGAGTAGTAAAAACTCTAAATAAGCAGCTCTCATGTTTATACAATGTTTTGGATAATTACTTTCTCAACAACTAAATCTCAATATGACACATCATTCTAGCTTTTGTTTGAAAAGCAATTAAGATGGGCAGAAGTCAAAGAAACAATTCGTTCTTTCAGTGGAACAACCACAATAAGCCACGAGAGAGAGAGAGAGAGAGAGAGAGAGAGAGAAAGAGAGAGTGAGAGAGAGATGCTAGAACAATGACCAAAGAAATCATACAGGAACAAAAAATAAGAATTGACTCTTTTTTTATTTTGTCTGCAATAAATAAGGCAAACTTACAAAAACAACAAGATTATTTCTACCTGATAGTATGTAACATATCAACTTCATCAGTCAATGTCCTTTGTTAGTTCATATAGACAATTTCCTAATAGGCATAAACCATACACAAATTATATCTCTGTTTCCCACTAATGAGGGAAAGGTTCTCAAAAGTTCCTGAATATTAATTTATTTTCATTTTCAAACTGGGTTTGATCTAATTTTCAAAGGGTAATCACCAATGTGAAATTATTTGAGCACAATTAGCATGACATTTATTTGTTTTTATCACTGGAAAAAAGAATTGAAAGGATTCAAAATACGATCCATCTCAGGATAGCAGAACCACCATATAAAAAAACCCACAATTAGTACATGACAACATTAATGTGATAAATAGGTCATACAGAAGCAACAAGTTGAGCTTCAGACAACCTGTCATCTAAACTTCACTCGATATCAAGCAATAATTACAACCTAAAAATTTGTGAGAAATTTCCTATTACATTTATGTGCAATTTCTATTTTATATGCCATACCATAGACCCTATGAATAAATAAATAAAATGATTTGGTTATCAATCCTAGTTAATTCCACATGAATGTGTTTCATACATTTTCTTCTCAAATTCTAGGCAAAAAGAACACAGCTGAATTCAGGTTTGCATTCATATTTGTATCTTACACCCTTTGACAAGCAAAGGGACTGTGTGTGTGCGCTTTTACCATTTTTTGTTCTTCCTCTTTGCCTAGTCTTTTTCATTTTTTGGTTATGTATCAATACTTCATCACCATCATGCTACAATAATCGGGTCTATATATCCAAGTAAACATGAAGCAAAGCAATACAAAAGAAAATTTCGTTCTTCTCTGTTTAACACTCCTACTGGCAATGCATTTTGACTGTGCAAATCTAGTTTTAAAATGGTAGTGTGCATGCTCCCGCCCTTGTGATGTTGTGTCCAAAAGGTTCACAACTTGTTCATGTAACATAATGTCAAACTTAAGTAACTAACCTATATGTAACTTTACTTAACTGAACTATGCTATAGGCAACCATCTACATCCAAATATTGTCAAAGTTCAATTATATTCTTTTGGTTTTAATACAATATAATATGCAATTGATGCCAAAATTTAGTCTCAAATGAAGTAACTTAGCTAAATGTTACCTCACTACAACCATATACACTATGCATGGTCATCTACATCAAAATACTATACAAGCAATGCCAAAATTGAGCCAATATGAAATCAACACAAAAGCCGAAAAAGAAAGTTTTATCTCAAAAAAACCTTATTACACCATAAGCAGGGACAATAAAGGTTGAATGAAAAAATCAAAAGGATAAGGATGAAAATAACTCTTATACTAGTACTTCAGTCCCATATTCATCCAGCAAATTAAAAACCTTTATTACCAAAAGTCAATAGATCAATCCACTTTCTTTCATCGTATGACAAAACTCATTTGGACCTGATATGCCATTCTTTTGCAACGACTCTCTTCCTGTTTTAGCAAGGTTGTAACAAAATAATGGAGGAAAACTTACTTTGATGGCAGAAAACATTGGAGGAACTTGCCATATCTCCCCACAAAAGGATGCAGTAGTTTTTCTTTATGTCCTCATCTTTGATGTGTTCCCGTGGCTCACGTTGGATGACCTGAATAAGAGGGTGGTGTAAGATTAGAGGCATCGAAATGGAATGACAAATTTTTCAGGACAACAATTCTATAAAGGCAACAAAAATGTAAGCCTCATCCCAATTGACTGTCAATCAGCTTATAATGATCCAAAAATACATAACATAGAGTGGGCCTTTTATTTGTTTTTTGTGTTTTTGTGTTTTTTTTTTTGTCATTTCATTATTTCTGCATATAAACTAAAAAAGTCTATGGAGATCAACCCAATTAAAACCATATTTGAGGTTTCCAAAGAATTGTTGTTCTTTTATCTGATTTTTTAAGTAATACTCCACCTCCCTGGAACATGAATAAATATAAATGGATTCCCCATCATTAATTTCTCTTTGAGAGCATGCAGTTGCTAGGTTTCTACGCTAGCTATGTCAGGTTGAAGGAAAAGTGCATTGAGTCATTATCTCACAATTCTAAATTTCTGAATATAACACTGTTTCTTGAATTCCAAAGGGTCCACACTATAGCAAAGAAGATGGTCTCCCAAATTGCAGTAATCTTAAAAAATTTCATGGATTTCCCCTTTCCAAATTAAACAATCCTCAGATCCCGTCGAGATAGAGCTCATACTCAGACTCTGCAGAAGATTATTCAACATCTCTTGTTCCCACTGAAAGAGATTTATCCTGAAATCCAGTTTCCAACCACTACCATTTGACAATGAGAAAGTAGAGAATGAAAAATGTACCTAAGATAAAAGCAAGAGAGATCAGCTAGAACAGATCGATTTTGGATTTTGGATCTACGATTTGATGAAGAACAGAAACACAAACAGTAGCAGTCTCAACAAGTTAAAAACCAAAATAAATTTAAAAAAAAAAAAACACACAAACACAAACACTCTAAATAACAAAATGAAAGATGATAATCCAATATTTTCTAGTTTTTGTGCGTGTGTGGAAATGAAGCTAGTGCATATAAATGTGTGTATATATAGGTAAGTAGATAACATAAATAGATTCAAATAGAGAAGTAGGTGAAGGTGAATTGAGATGAATCAGACGAAGAGAGAGATAAACGAACCAGTAATGAGGACATGAGATCCGTAGTGCTTGCAGTAGTAAACGAAGAGATCGGAGTCTGGACCATCTGGTGCCGCGTCCTCACTCGATTAGCCTCGAGATTGATGAAGAACAGAGATCATTGCGATTGATGAAGAACAATTAGAGCAAACTGCTGCGGTTGAGTTCTGTGTGTTTGAGCTTCAAATCGAGGGTTGTTTGAGCTTCGATCAACATTAATGAAGAACATACAACACAAAATCTGCAATCGAGCGAGTGAGAGAGAGAGTCTATGTTTGAGCTTCAAATCGAGGGTTTTGGAAAAGAGAGAGAGATAGAGAGAGAGAGCCTGTGTGTTTGAGCTTGAACTCGGGGTTGTGGAAGAGGCAGAGAAAGTGAGAGACGGAGTCTAAGAGTCTAAAACGGTGTTAATAAATCGCCCAATACGACTTCGTTTAACGGAAATCAAAGACAACGTTTTCAAAACGCTGTGTTTAATGAATCTACAATGGCGTCTCCATAAATGCCGCAAAACAAACGTTGCAATATGCCGTTTTTTTAGTAGTGACATTCAAGTTAAAGGGATCTTATAGTTAATGCTGACTTAATTAGTTGCATCTAAAAGTGTGATAAAAACAGTATTTATCTGATATTTTATTATAGTTAAATCAATATTGTTATAATTTTAAATTATTTTTTTGATATATATATATATATATGTAAACTAAATTTTGTTAAACTATAGCGTAACAAAACCAATTGTAATATTTTTTAAAATTTTATAATGATTTTTTCATCTCTTCATCTATGTAATAAATTTTAGTGTATAAAGTGATTCTATACAAAGCAGACTTTGTAGGTATTATCAAGTTAAAATAATGATAATAATAATTCCATTGACCCATATTTTTTTATTGGAAAAATTGGTCTAGGGTCCCTCTCCCACTTTTCGTAATGGAAGAGATCCACAAAATTATTTTTTGATGTCTAAGATCCCTAAACATATATTAGAGAAATTTCAATCCTTTATACAATTTTCATCATCTGACCCATTCCATTTCTCAACCAGAATAGCCCTAGCTTGCTCGCAAAGCGTCTTGACCTCAGCTTCCGTTAGAGGCTTGAACTCCATCAAGTGCTCGATCTGCTGATCCAGATCCGCGTGCGAAGGCATTCTCTCTCTCTCTCTCCGATCTGAAACACCGATCGATCAAAGACTGAAGATCGAAGCAAAAAGTAAAGGATTAATTGATTCCTACCTATCGATCAGAAATCACGAAATTAGGATTTCTCTTTTCGATGGGGTTTTTGAATCCTCGGATCGTGGGTCCAATCCCTTCGTTCATCGAAAATCTCCCGAATCTCGAGGTCTTGCAGATTTGGGAGAACAATTTCACGTTAGAGCTGCCGGCAAACCTCGGCCGTAATGGAAAGCTGTTGAGGCTTGACGTCTGCCCCGAACCTTATCGATAGTTCATCTTTTGACCTTTCTGATTTTGGCTTTCCTCCAGTTTCTGCAACACAGGTACGTAAGTTGCCCACAAGTGGCCAGTCTAAGCTGAAGGTGGAAGATGTTCATACTGCAAACAAGTCTTTGGTAGAAAGAATACGATTTGCTTTAGATTTTGATGAAGTGAAGTACAGTGCATTTAAGGATATATCAGGAGAATATCGACAGGGCTTGATGGATGCAGAGACTTATGTAGGTTATGTGAATCAGTTTGGCTTGTCACATCTTGTTATTGAGTTGGCTGGACTCTGTCCTGATGCTGAGAAGCAGAGAGCACTTGTTGAGACCTATGATGCAACTTTGCGAAACAATGGCCTACAAGAAAAGTTTTGGAGCAAGGACAGCTCACATATGAAAGATGGTAATGGTTCCAAGAAGGTAAAGGGAAGTGCTTAGATGCTGAAGACACTCAATATTGGTGAAGTCAATTTTCTCTGGCTTGGAAAGTCCATAATTTATCAATTTTTTCTGATTTGAAAATTGGTCAAACTTTTCTCTGGGTTGAACCCAGAGAAATTTTATGAAAGTTCAGAATTTCTCTGGATTAATTTTTTCTGGACCAATATTCTCTAACCTGAAGAAAGCTTCATTATAGTTATTTATTTATTTGACCTGAAGAAAGCTATATGATTGAAAATACAGCTTTTATATCCAGTTCGATTCTTAAAAAATACTTATTTGTATTTCTATTTTCTTAGAAAAGAGCCTTCTAGCTATGACTTTGAAGCAACATAAAATTTTTGCTCACTCAATACCTGCATGTATGTATCCTACACTTGCCATAATTTAAGTGTGTATGTAAGGGTATGTGTATGCTTGTGTATAAATGTAGTACCATGAAAATATTCTTCTTTTTATTACCTTTTAAAAAATAGTTAATATTTTAATGGTAAAAAACACACTGCTTCATCAAAAAAAAAAAAAAAAAAAAAATTTCCCGAACTGTCAGTAGCAACAATGGTGGAGGATCAAACCCACGGCAGAGAAATTTGAAATTTCTCTGGAGTCCATGAAAGGTTAAGGAAATTTCTCTGGCAGTGTCCATGAAAGGCTAATGAGGTAGAGAAATTTTGAATTTCTCTGTACCAATTTTCTCTGACTTGAATTTTCTCTGGACTAATTTTCTCTGGATTGATGCTGAGGGACCTTAGACGTCATGAAAATATTTGATATCCTTTATATTATAAAATCATAATATCAGGGACTTTAAAAAAAATATCCCTTTTTTATTTTATTTTGCCTTATTTATTTTTTTGTGTTTATATATTAAAAGTCCCATTTTAAGTCAGGACTAACTGTAACTACGTTCATTAAGACCAAACACAATATTAACAAACAAAAAAAAAAAAAAATTAAACCTAAAATATCTGAATTCATGATATCTCAAGACTAGTCTCTCTATAAGACCAAGTGATTCTAACTAGTTGTCTAGTTCCATAGTTTACATACTTTCTTATCAAGCGCGATGCGTCTGCTCAAATCCTTTCACTCTGATTGCATCACAAAAGAGTTTCTCTAATAATTATTTTATTATTTTAGGATCATCCTCACATGGATAAAAATCCAATAGCAGTGATGCAGAATTCTAATAGTAGAGTTCTAATCGGATAATTATTCAGTAATTTTAGAATATGAATACGTAATATTTTATAATATTATGATTAGTAGGAAAGGTGGGTAGGTGAGATATTATGTTAGGTGATTAGAGAATATAAAGGGACATATTGAATAATGATTGGTTAGAGAGTACAAACACGTGGTACTCCGAAAATACTGAATAATTTCCCACTCTAATCAGAGAGCTCTACTGTAGAAAAGCAAAAAAAATAAAAAATAAAAAGTAAAAACCCAGATCTAAATATTATATTATATGATAAAACCCACCATTAAAACTCTTTTTGGGCAAAATTCTACTATACATGAAAGTGGTTTTCATGTATGGTATATAAAAAATATATAGGCCGTTAGATTTAGATAAGATAAATGCTAACCATTAGATGAATCAAAAGTAAAACTAGATAGAAAAAGTAGTGAGGTGTTCCAAAAAATAAAATAGTTTTGGTTAATTTTGAAAAAAAAAAAAAGAAGACTCTAACTTACCATTTTTTACAAACATACTTACTATTTGGTATTCACTCACTTACTATTTGTTATTAATAAACTTGAAGTCCCAAATAATTCATTTTTTTTTTTTTTATCTTTTTATCTTTTTTCCATCACATCACCTCTCTACTTTTCTGCACATCTTTTCGTAAAAAGACAAAAAATGCACTTATTTAAGTTATCTCAAACAACCCCTTAAAATATTTTCTGCTAAATAGGTCACTTCTAATTCTTGCAAATGATGCCCTCTTTTATATTTTAAATCAATTTTAGGGTAAATTATATTTTGCCCCCCTAAAATTTCAGCCATTTCCCACTTTGGCTCTTTAAGTTTGATTTTTTCTACTATGACCCTTTATGTTTGCAATCCTTTCCACTTTAGCCCTTTAAGTTTGATTTTTCCCACTGTAGCCTTTCCATCTAAAAAACTAACAGAATTTGCCATATTACCAACACAACAACTCTATGTGTGATGTAAAAAATTCGCTAAAGATGCAAAAATGAAAAATAGAAAACAAAAAAAATTGAAATTTTTTTTAGTCTTTAGTGAAACCTTTTTTTTTTTATTTTTCAAATTTATTCATAAACATTATTACATTATATCTAGATTAGATGCACCTAAAAAAATAAAAACAAATTTAACTAAAAAAAGAAAAAAGTTTACTAAAGATGAAAAAAATAAAAATATATTGATTCAAACACCTGTATTATCAATTCTGAAATAAAAAGTTTACTATTGTTTTCTTTTTTTGTCTTTAGTGAACTTTTTTTTTTAGTTAAATTTGTTTTTATTTTTTTAGGTGCATCTAATCTAGATGCATCTATAATGTAATAATGTTTATCTATAAATTTGAAAAAAAGTTCACTAAATAAAAAAAAAAATTCAATTTTTTTGTTTTATATTTTTTATTTTTTGCATCTTTAGATTTTTTACATCACACATGAAATTGATGTGTTGGTGATGTGGTGGATTTTGTTAGTTTTTTGGATGGAAGTTAGTCTATGAGTAAAGTGGGAAGGATTGCAAATATGAAGGGTCAAAGTGGGAAGGATTGCAAATATAAAGGGTCAAAGTGAGAAAAATCAAACTTAAAGGGTCAAAGTGGAAAAGATTGCAAACATAAAAGGCCAAAGTGGAAAAAATCAAACTTAAAGGGCTAATTAAAGTGAAAAATGGGTGAAACTTTAGGGGGCAAAGTGGAATTTACCCTTCATTTTAAATACATAAAACTAATGACATACTATATTTAACTATTTTCCCTCTATATTTTGTCTTGTTATGATTTGTAAAAAGTAAAATATCATAGGTAAATATTAATTTATTAAAATTTGTTAAAATTTACTAATTTTTTAAAATAATTAATTTTTGATACAATATTAAAAATAAATAAAAAATAAAAAAATTGTAAATAAAATATTTTTAAATTATAAGTTATTTAAACTTAATTTTAAAAGCAATAATTTAAAATAGTTATTATTATTATTATTATTATTATTATTATTATTATTATTATTATTATACCTACATGTCACGACCCAAATCCGGCCCTATGGGTTTAGCACCGTAACCGGCCAGTAATCTGAGATTACCGAAGGCCTGCTTAACAGTAATACATTAAAACAGAGTACAGGGCTTGGCGGAAGCCAATACAGTAAGTAAATAGTGTCCATTGAGCTCTGACAGTCTGTATGCCAAAAAGATTTTTCATGCATTCATACATACACAAACAGTACAGTCTATACAAAATTTACAGTCACACAGTACAGGG